GACACCAGCGATTGCCTGCTGCTTCAGACGATTGCAATGCCCACCTGCAAATTCGCAGAATGGCGCCACCGTCATTCGAATGGCGGATACATTCGCGTGGGGCCCAAGAAACGAAAGTGGGCTGGAAAAGTCACGCGGGATGACGCATTGGAACCGTCGATATCACGGTAAAATCCGCGCGGGCCCCGATAATCAAAAGTGGGCGGAAAAAAAGGCCAGTCCTCTCGAAATCACGGCCCGCCCTCCCGCGACGGTTTCAGATCGGGCGATTTCGTGAGGACGGTCCGTCAAAAAAGGGACCTCCTGATGTCACAGCCCCCGACACAGCAGTCCGCCGTTACTGACCCTGTGGCGGGCAGCTGAAGGGGCCCTCTAGCCCCACTCACTCCACTCACCGTTCTCCTGTCGGGCACCAAACGTATGGGGGTAGCTGTCACACCCATTCGCTGGTGTCATTTCTTCCGTGTGCTGCCTTTGCGACGCGTCCGCCATCGCTCGAAGTCGCCGGCATCATATCGCAGGCCCCTTGCGCATCCAGGCCCTCGTTCTTCCAACAATCGTCGACAGCGGGGGGCACTAACGAAAACGTCACGCGACTGTAGACCTTGCGCGTCGTCCCGTTCGCGCTGTGCTCTTCTTCTGTCGTCTGGAGGCGTTTGTCGACTCGCAGGTCAGTAAGAAGCCCACGCCCCTTCACCATTTCAAGCCCCCACCTCTTCCCATTGCCCTTCCGCTCCTTTGATCGTGCAAGTCTTGTTCTCTGCCACCACCTGCTCTGCTAATCACGCGCGCACGATCTTGAGCGCACGATGCCCACCGATCACAACCACGGAAGACCCCATGCAGTGACACACGCTAACGTTATCATCTTGCACATGACGTCAGCGACGGGCAATGGCTTGCGGCTTTCACAGTCATCGTCCTCGAGTCTTGGCGTCCTCAACATCGCTTGTTGGCGTCCTCAACATCGCTTGTTGGCGTCCTCAACATCGCCCTCGATTCTTGGCGCCCTCCGACGACCGCATCTGACGCGTGGAGAAAGTCGCACCGCCCTCGATTCTTGGCGTCCTCAACATCGCTTGTTGGTACACTTTCTTGGACCCTAGCTCGCGGGTCGTCTTCCGCCTAGTCTACTCAGGATATCGCAATGCAGTCGGTCGTGCGAGTCTTCTTCTACATCACCGCCTGCTCCATCAATCACGCACGAGTCGACATGCGCGCGATCTTGAGTCCACGATGTCCGCAACTCACAACCACGAAAGTTTCCTTCCACTGACACACGCTGACGTCACCATCTTGTGCATGACGTCTGGAATTCGAAATGGCTTGCGGCTTTCGCAGTCAAGATCGTCGGACGCCTCCGATGACCGCATCTAACGCGTAGACGAAGTTTCATCGCCGTTGCTCCTTTGCGTCCTCAACATCGCGATATGTGATCACCGCTGCGATAACACAGCATCCTATAGACGTCAACACCGGAGACGTCATCTGAAAAAATGCGTGTCAATCGACTTTCAGATCCCGTCCATCCATCTCCGGTGTTGACGTCTATCGGATGATGTGTTATCGCAGTGCTGATCACATCATCCCATGTCCCCGATAGCCGGAAGCCTCACGACAAACGCGCACCTCCAACAGGAATCGCACGTGTCGCACGCACAGCCAACACTGGCAAAGCCACCCATCCACAACGTTCAGCGACGACCCGTTGCGCACAACGGATACCCATGGCGAATCCGAAACATCCCAGATTACCGCCGATCCCGCGACATCCCACCGCCAAGGGCCAACTTCGAGCTCGTTTCCGATCGACTCGGTGATTGAACATGTCCATCGCGGTTGTGGACGACATCAGGATCTTTTTCTTGTTGTCTTGAACGCTCCCTGTCTCATCGACCGTTCTTGTACACGCAGCTAGCAATGAGGAACCGCCACGCAACCGGGCGCGAGACGCCGAACACGCATTGGCAACATTTTGGATATGGAACTAGCGCTTACAAGTTCCATCGCGCCCACAAGAAAACGTCACAGCATTGCCGCCCGTGCGGTAGCCCGTCCCCTCGCCACAATTCGTTTTGGGCGAACTCTGACGTAGACAATCCTCGCAACGATTACAGTCTCGAAATCTGAGATGAATGAACGCACCAATGACCTTCTGGAACGATCAGCTCTCGATCCACGCCGATCACATTTCGATTCCAATTAATCACAGCCGCGTGTTCCAGAGCAGCTTAGGGAGGCGTGCGTGGGATTGCAGCGGGAGTGAGAGAGTG